GTAAAAAGTAAGAAAATATATACTTTTAAAATTTTATTTATTTCTAACTCACTTGAAAATAGTTCTATTTTATGTGGTTTTAAGTACGACTTTGCTACATTTACACTTCTAATAGAAGTAAAAAAAAATAGATATTTGTAAAAAAAAATCATAATCATGAAATTACAACTTTTTAAGCCCTTCAAATAAGAAAATTAAAGCATTTATAAAAAAGTGACCAGATTAGATTATTGTAGACAATATGTAAATAAATGTGATCTGAATACTTTTCTTGATATTGTTAGATTTTGTACATAGCAGAGGCTTTAATAAGACCTTTTACGCATGTAGCCTAAACATAGGCATGTTTAACTCCTAATATAACTATTAATTTAAACACCAAAATAAAATTAACCCTTTCGAAAATATCAATTCCTACACTTTAAATAAATGTCAAATATGTTTCACGTTTTCTTTTTTAAATACTATAAAAAATATTTGTTTTGCTGTAAATTTTGTGAGAACACTAATTCTTGCAAGACTGGGGCCTTAAGTAATGACTTGGTGATGGCAGGAGAAGAATTCAGTGACTTAGTGGTTGAGATCGGAAAAGCGGTAACATATTTCCCAAAAAACACCGCAACGTCCTGATGTGATTAGTTAATTTCTTGCTTTACTGATAGTTCGAATTGGGAGACTTAACCTTACCAGTTTCACTCTTTAATACTACATCTACTCTTTAATACTACATACTACTCTATGCTATTTTAATTTTATTAGAAATCGTCTAAATTTTGTTGCTTACATTCAAAAACTTGGCCGTGTAACACACCTTTTTAAATGTTTCTGATTTTTTTTACATATTCCCTAAATTCGACGCTAAGGTTATAAGAATTTACATGGTGAAGTTCACATAACTTTTATCTGCTCATGTAGACTCCTACTTTCGCCCATTCATGGAATGCATTGCGACTGTGCAAGGAGAAAGTTTTAAAAGTACAAGTACGAGGGTGGCACTGAAAATTTCGGGAATCAAGGAAGTGACACAACATTACAATTTAAAAATGTATTTACTGCTTTTCGAAGTATTCTCCGCGAAATTTGACACATTTTTCCATACGATGGAACCAATCATTGAAGCAACTATTCCATTCGGAAGTTGGGGTCTTCAAAATTGCCATTTTGTAGGCGTCCACAGCTTCTTCAGGTGATGAAAATCTCTGTCCCCGCAATTTATTCTTTATTTTAGGGAAAGTATAGAAATTATTAGGGCTTAGGTCGGGGCTGTACGGTTGATGGTCTAATAATTCTATGTTTTCTTGCTCTAAAAACTCTTTTGTTCTGTGTGCGGTGTGAGAACTCGCATTGTCGTGATGGAGGATGATGCGGCGATTGCAATTCTCTTTACGGAGTTCAGAAACGACCTGTGGAAATCAAATGCTAGCATACCATTCTGCATTAACAGTTCTTTGTCCCTCAAGAGGAATAGTCGTAACATGTTCGGTTTTGGAGGCAAACGTGGCCACCATTTTTTTTGCAACACTCCGTGAACGAACATTTTTTGTTGGCTTTAACTCATTTTCGAACACCCAAAACTCATGACTGGTTTTTTGTTTCGGGTTCGTACGCGTATATCCAGGGATTCGTCACCTGATACGATGTTGTATACAGAATTTGAGTATCCTGCGTGGAATGTTTCGAGAGTTACGCACCAAGTAACGCGAGCCGCTTTTTGCTCTTCACAGAGCGAATGCGGTATCCATCGGGAAAACAACTTTTTACACCTAATTATTCATGCAAGAATATTTGTATTTGACTCATGCCAATTTCTAAAGTTGCCTGAATTTCGCGGTATGTCACATGTCGATCTTCCTCAATCGGCTTATGCACAGCATCAACATTTTCTTTGGTGACTGCAGTTTTTGGAGGACCTTGACGGGGATAATCACTGAGCTTGACACGTCCACGTTGAAATTTAGCAAACCAGTGATAAATTGTGGTTTTGGATAGGGCTTCATCACCAAATGCAGAAATCATCCGGTTAACACACTGTTTATGTGTTTCACCACTTCGAAAGTCATAATAAATCATCGCTCTTGAATTTTCTCGAGTCAATTCCATTTTCTCAACGACTAAACAAGTTTGACAAAACCTTGTGACAAGACCGAGAATCTTTTTTAAATAAATAAATGGTATTCGATTTTTAAAAGCAAGGAGTTTTCAATTAAAAAGATTTTAATATGACAGGAACAGTGGAAATATTTCATTCCCGATACTTTTAGTGCAGCCTAGGTATTATCTAATTCATTCCAAATAAGGTTAAATAATATTCCATAAAAACAGAAGTATTTTGGTATGAAAGTGATGGAAGTTTTCACTTTGTGAGACATACATATCGCACCTTTAGAATTATAGAGACCGATCAAAAAAAAAAAAAACAATTTTTTGGAAATAGTTGAATAAAGTTTCGTATGTTTAAACATTTTGTGGAAAAAGGAGATTATTTGGTTGTACTTTCATAAAATTCGTATTATTTTAATTTTATATCCTACTTAACTTATTTATCTACACATACACATCTACAATTTTATTATTTTTTCTCAATTTATACAAAAATAGTGTTCAGTTCAGGGTCTTTGTTTGCCTGAAACTATAGTTTTTTTTAAAAGACCTTTTATTATTTAGGTCCCTCTGATTCTGAATCTTCAATCAAAATATCGTATCATTCCTAAATTGGTCGCTGTAATAATGCATTTTTAGACAGTTTTAGGGACACTTTTATGTTCAGTACACACAAAAAAAACATCTTAAGGTAATAAAAAATTTTATTAGAAAAGTAAACGGACAAAAAACTTTACTACTTACTAATTGTACAACACATTATGTCGCAAAGTTAACTAAAGCTAAAAGATAATTTAAAAAAAATTACATTCAATGAAATGCTACTCACTCTTCTTTGAAACTATTACTTACAATAAAATCACATTATGTAAAACTATTCAAATTAAAACATGTCTTAACAATAACCATAAACTTTGAAAAACGTAATAAGTAATTAAAGTATAGAATTATAAAAATCTGCATAATAACTAGGTATTAAGTTTTTATTAAAGAGATCACGTAAGTCTTTTTTCTTATGTTCACTTAGCTCTAGTTTTTGTGAAAATCCTTTGGTTAGCGTTATTTCTTCTGGTCTGGCCATTTTCTTTCGTTTATTTCTCATATTGACCATGGTGAACTCACTTTGGGTGTACGAGGTTTTATAGTAAAATGCGAACTGTTCCCCCTTACAAAATTCCAAAACCTTGACATTGGTCCATATGATATTATTTTTATGTTCATCTTCATTATAATTATATCCCCACTTTTCTTGTAGAACTTTTAAATCGATGAAAAATTCGTATGTCAGCTCTATCACATTAAAAAGTTCACCATTCTTACGCGAGTTCTTAATTAGGGTAACATATTGGTAGGGTGCGTATATTGGCCCAGACTTTTTATTTCTCTTAATCTCCTTTTCGAAAAGGCTGTGTACATTATCTCCTTCATTCTGGGTATGACCTTTAATTAGATATTTATGAGTAATTCTGTGAATATTTTCAAAAATAGTTACAGCATAAGAATATAACGTGGTATTTATTTTTATTTTGTCCACAACTATTACCGGAATAAAATGTGACATGGAGAGCTTTGTTTTGGTTCTGCTCATATAAACGGTGTAAATAATCTAAAATACACGATCCAATCTCGTTAACTCCTCTTTTTCCGTGAACTTCGTCCCAGAAATAGCTATATACGTTACCGTATGCCCCTATTTCATTATCATTCTCTTCTTATTATTTTTTTTACGTTTTTGAAGTGTTACTGTATTCCTTAACATTTCTACTATTGTAAAATTAAGGCAATTAAGCTTGGATTTATAAAAAAAAGATGATGTTTCTCCAGTGGGACACTGCATAACAGCCTGCAAATCATAGACCGCGCAAATTTTGGTTTCATTAATATTTTGACGATCTAGACGTTTTTCTTCTCGACACAAAACCTTTTCTTTCAGATGATCATCATATTTTTCCTTTATTTCTATCTTGCGATCTGGAGTTGCAAGCTCATAATCCAAGCATAAATCGTACCTATCTTTTTTTGGTTGAAAAAAAACCTATATTAAACTCTGTAGTAAAAATATCATAGTACAACCAATAGTCACATGTAGGTTTTTCTTCTTCTTTCTGAGATTTATCAAAATCTCTCCAAAGATCCATTATCGTCTTCTCACCACTAATATACTCCCTAGAAGTTGAAGCTCTCAAATAATGAGACTCTATTCTTGGTATCGAATTTATATGTCCTTTTATACTTTCAATAAGTAGTGGATCTGTGGGTTTTCTTCCAAAGTGCTTACCTCTATTGTCTTTACTTACGAAACCTTGCGGGTCAGTTTTCTTTTTAACTGTTCTGATTTGACGGTCACATATCCATAGCGTGTTAATAAAGAAGGTCTTACCAACACGAATATTGATATTATTTATTTTAAAATAGAATGCATTATTTGGTAATATTGGTTTAGCTGCGTTAGTATACTCATATCTAGGTTTAACTTCCATCATACAAGATCTTATGTAATATCTCTGTAGTTCGATGTTGCCAAGAGACCAATATGTTTCAAATAGCGTATTTGTATCGGTCCCATCTACATTCTCGGAATATTTGAGTCTACATGTACATGCATCTTTAACGAAACGGGCAGGTACTTCCTCAGGTCATTGAAACATAAGCTTTCCCAGAATTTCTTAAAATTTTTGCTACATTTTGCTTCCATTTTGATGGATTTCGAGTACGCTTCCTAGATTTTCTGGGAGCTTCTGCGACAGAATTAACAGAACAAGTGTAATTATATGCTATGGTATGGAAAGTAGTGTTGGAAGAAGGTGAAAAACTGGAGCTAGAGCTTGATAACCAAGTAGTCTTTTTAAGGTTGTACCTAGACCTATCTACAGTATAGGTTTGGTCGGAGTCACTTAAATCTACATCACTTTCATCTGAATTGACAGGTGACTAGTGGTAACTTTTTTTGCTGCAGATGTACTTCTGCTAGCAACTTGACCCGTTAACTTAGATGTTGATGGCCCATCTATGATGAAATTGTCATTTGTTTTACTGTTACTAGAACTGCTGCTGGAACTGGAAGAGGATGTTGATGATGATCTGCTTGAATAAGAAGAAGACCTACTAGTTTTAGAGACTGAATCACGTGATTTCTTAGACTGTTGCATTTCTATTTCTAATGGCAGAAGAGCTGGCGTAAGACTTATAGACTCTTTAGTAAATTCATCGATTTTGGGTATCGTTTGTACCTGAAATATAATTTAGTTTTCAATTCGTTATGAAAGAAAAAAACTATTTTTTAATTAAACATAAAAAGGTTATAACCCAATAAATTGGTGTTCGTATTGTACAAACGAAACGTCTTTGGATCATAATATTTAATGGATACGTCAGGATAGTTTTCTATTATTGATGGACTACTTGTTAACGATTTATTTTCTTTTTGAGGCGTATTCTGAAAGTAAATATTGTAAGTTTACAAAAATAATTTGTAAGTAACGAAAAAAATATATTTGGATAAATGTAAATTAAGGTACCTAATTTAAATTGTTATGAAAATCAAAATAATTATATTGAAAATGTATGATTACATACCTCAATAATAATTTGGTCAATCTGATTTAAAATATTTTTTTGGAGATGGACTAGATGGTACAATATTTTCTTTATCGGTGATAATCTAAAAGTAAATTATAATATTACGTTATTGTAGATATCCGTGAAATATACTAAATGGGCATAAATATTTAATCTACCATAATGTCATCACTATCAGCCGATTTTCCTTGCACATTGGTTGGTGGGTCCTTGATGTAAGCACTAATATTATTAAGATCATTCTCCTGGAAATAATAAATGATAAGATTATAAAATTTGTTTTGTTACTTAAAAAGAATAATAAAAATCTGAACTTGAAATCTAACCTGAGTACTACACAAATTAATTTTTTCTAAAATATAATCTGCTCTTTTCTTCGTTCTTCAATTTCTTTCTTCATAATGAGTTACTATCTAAAATCCGAAATACAGAAAAAAATAATATTTTTTATTTATATTATATATATAATATGACTCATTAAACAAGACAACAAAACGATTTCGTATCTAGATAGACCCACGTCTAAAATAATCTGTGCGATTACAATAGTATTTATTACAAGAGGGACACAATCATAAATCAGTTTTACCATAAACATTCGTTTCGTAACAACATAGACCAAATGATGATTGCGTCTTCGATTCGTACATTTTTTTCAATCTAAGAGTGATTCAATGACAAATAAGTCACAGCTGTATAGAGAAATTTTAGTATAAAATAGACTTAATACAAAATAGGTCTTTACTATATTAAAAATAGTTACATCCACATACCTTCATTTTTAAACTTGTAGCACCCTAATTAAATTAAACTATTACAATAAGTATAAAGGCAGACTTAGTGTATTTATTTTTTTACCAATTGGTAACACTCCTTCTTCTGCCTAGGAGTCCGTCTGATCGATCAAGGTTAGATGTAGGTTGCAGATATCTTTAGCTATGGTGTTTACTAAATATCATCAAGTCGATTATTTGCTCATTTGTCACCCTTGCTTCTATAATACATCTTCAATAAAAATGAATGCATGTTTAATTAGGTGCAAAAATTTAATGAGCTGCAATTAAAAATTAACGGTAAATTAACGAATCTATAGCACCGAGAATAATCGTTAAAATACCTGAGAAGTGCAAGTTGGACACGTATTCTGCAGGTTCTTATTATTATAAAATGTTTTAACTGTTTTGTCAGTCGTGTGGTTTTAAACGCGGTTGCCGATCGTGAGATCCTTGGTTCGAGTCCGAGGTCAGGCTAAAATCGATTAAAGGGCTTTATTGGCAAAAAATACTCAGTTGCTTTAGGAAGTTGGTGGTATTTCATCCTTGTGCCTCGGATAACGCGTAAAGCCTGCTGGTCCTGCACCATATCTCTTTTCGGTCGTGTCGGATAACCATTCCGTCAGCCTATATGAGTGATAGAATAGACAGTGAACCTGTGCATACACATTTGGGCACTATATAATCCTGTCCTGCGCAGTTGGCATCTTTTTCTTGTTTCTTACATTGCCACGCGTATTCCGTTTAAAGCTACAAAAAAATTAAAATATTTTGAAATTAATGCGAATGTTTTTGACTCCTTGATATCGGGGATTCGTATTTTTTTACTGATATAAATTGTCAAATATTAATTACCGGGAAGGTTAAAAATAGTGAAATTCAAAAGACTTCCCAAGGATTACAATCTAAAATTAATTAAAAAACGGATAAGTTTAGTTTTTCGAAAGATATCTGGTTCACGTCCATACCGTCCAAGTGAAATTATTTACAATTAACTATAAATATTCCCTCGGTTTTAGAGCCTTGCGGAATATTTACAGACAATGGCAAGAGACCCGAGATGTAGGGTGCTACTTGCGTTGACACTTTGGCGGCCTCTCATCTCAAGGGTACCTCTTTTAGAGCCGGGGCGGCATCAGAGGCAGCAGAATTAAGTAAATGGCGCAAATATGAGTCTTTGAGAAATGACTACATATTTGTGCCACTTGCTGTAGAGACTATCGGTCCGTGGGGACCACGTGAAGTGAAGTTCTGTACTGACTGGTAGTCGCTGCTGGTGAAGGCTAAGTATCTATTTAGGGAGGAAACGCAACCAGCGTTCTTGGCAAAATACCACGGGGAGCAGGTCTTTGTGACAATTTAAATTTTTAGTATTAGTTTTTCTATATAATAGTTTTTTTATATTGTGTGTTATGCATATCAATTATTAATATTGTAAAACAAAATATATCTAATAGTTGTAAATGAAATAAATAATGTAAAGAAATTAACTTTCTTACTTAATTAAATAATATAGCCTCTTTATTTCCATAATGAATGACTTGAAGAAAACAAATATATGTCTTGAGGTTACATTTACATAATTATACATCCATAAAACAAAGTATTACAACTCATAATTATTACAATTAATAATTTACAATAGCAAAGCAATTTTTTACATATAAATTTCAACGTTTTTAACGTTTAGTATTAATTTTATTATTATGCTAAAAACATTAAGTCCGTCCTTTCTAACCCTTTTAATTAAGATGAAAGCAATAATACAGATATAAAGAAGAAGCAAAAGAGTAGAATAAACGCTGTAGAAATGTTATTTAAGAGTATGTTATGGGTGATTTTGAATAAAAGGCTGAGACATTATGTCATAAGAAAAAAGTGTGGTTTGCCAGATAGTGTTGTGGCAGCAGTGTGTGTTACAGAAATGAACGGCAAAGGCACGCCCTAGACGGAAGTTTATCAACAAACGGGGGTCTATCCCGGTCAAGCCGACCCTTTCGTGCTACAACTATAATATACGAGTCGCTCTAGCGTAGGCACTCACGACAATAATATAAGACGACATATATTATTTTTATTATTAAATCCATGTAATTAAAGCATCTAGTCTAGAGTGATTACGCCAAATTCTTAATGTGGGGGATAACCCCAAATTTCTCCCGACTGACATAAAAGAGGCTTGCGGTTTTATATAGCTGACAGAAAGTTTTGTACGTATGTAATTTTTTTGAAATTATCCTTGCCATTAAAGTATTATTAATATTTCGCTATCGATCTATAGCAGTTTGCATACATAAATTTTACTAGGACAAACATCCAGACCCGGAACAATTATTTTTAGGCCATACAAATTCTTGTTCCGCTGGAGATCCAAACCTGGGCACTTAGCGCTGCAACCTTTTCTAAACAACTGCGCCACGGAGCCGCAGTCAATTCAAATAGATTTTGTGAAAAATATTTTAGAAGTACTCTTGAATAATTCATTTAATCCTTTCTCAGGGAAAGTACTCAGGCGTAATAAGACGAGGGTTGTGAGGGCCGTGACGTAGACGTTGCTCTGCCAAACCAACCAGCTAAATGAATTACGCGCAGATTGACGGGTTGTAATGTTTAATTTTTAATTCGATGCTACTAAAGAAAATATAGCCACATCAGCTTACTGATCCGTTTTTTCCCGACGTTGGACAGAATATTTTACATAAAGAAATGATTATACCTCTCTTTCAGAAGTATTTAATTTATATTTATGCACATGAGGTACCTTGAGGATTACCAACTGATTAGTGATCGCCAATACAGTTTTCGCTGTGGTAGGTCAGCTGGTGATCTTCTGGTCTACCGAAACTATCTACCGAGTCTAACTCACAGCTGTACGGAGGCAGTAGAGTCCAAGGGGGAGGCATTGGCCGTTAGTTTGGACATTGCGAAGGCCTTCGATCGGGTTTGGCACAAAGCGCTTCTTTTCGAAGCTCCCTTCCTATGGGCTTCCCGAGAAATTATGCGATTGGATCACCAGCTTTCTTGCAGATCGGAGCATCAAGGTCGTTGTAGACGGTGCAAGCTCCGATTGCAAGCCTATTAATGCTGGTGTTCCACAAGGCTGCGTGCTATCGCCAACGCTGTTTCTTCTGCATATCAATGATATTTTGCAAACCCATAACATTCATTGCTATGCAGATGACAGCACTGGTGCTGCTCTGTACACCGGCCGTGTCATTATTTCTCGGGAAAACGTCTCCGAGTACCGGGACAAACTTGTGTCTGAAGTTGAGTCTCTGCTGAACATAGACCAACACAAGCCACGGGTGGATTGGAGGGGAGTAGCCATTGCGTTTTTCTCCGATACAGAACTGTTAATAATTTTTTGAGAGGAAATCTACATACACAAAAACAATCTATTGTCACTTGGAAACTGACACGTAACAATAAAAACAATAACAATTTCACACAACGACAGATATTAGGTCTTTACTCATAAAATTGCCGTTTTTATGAAATATGTTAACGAAATCTTTTTCATTATATTTATTTTTTATATTTATTTTTTATGCAATCATTCTCAACACAGTGGTAGTTAATTAATTTCTATCTTGCAAAAAAGGCATACAAAAAATCAGAAGGACGGGAGGCAACAAATTCTTTAAAGGAATTTTGTACTGCCTCTCGGGAGATGAATATTTCCCGCCAAAAATTATCTAAATTCTGCAAAAAGTAGAAGTCTGTAGGCGCACGGTCTGGTGATTACGATGGATGACGAAGAGTTTTTAATTCTAGCTCAAGTAGCTCTAAGACCGTCTGTTGTGCAGGATGAGTTCGTACTGGAGCGCCGGAGACAAGCGATTGACCACAGCTGGTTGGAGACTTGTGAGATTCTCCATCATTGTGTTCAGTTCTTCACACTACACATCTGCAGTAATACTCATCCTGTTTGGTAAGAAGCTGTGATAAGTCACACCGACGTTAGACCACCAAACAGTGACCATCACCTCTCTAGGGGTATGTTGCCCTTTAGAGCATCGATTAGGTGCTGAACCAGGACCCAACCAACTTGCTGAGTGCTTACGATTGTCAAATAGAATCCAGTTTTTGTCGCAGGCAACAGAATAATTATGAATTAAGTTACATTTTAATCACTTATATAGCACTTAAAACATAAGACGATTTTACGTTCACTTGTACACATTTGCTGTGTCAAGTTCTGCCAATAAATCAATGAAATAATTATATAGTAGATTACAATTCGTATGTTTATTTTTGTAGTAAATATTATTTAAGTGTATAAAATTTTGAAAAGGGTTATAAAAGACTCTTGTTTTCTTTTCTAAAGGCAATAGATCTTAATTTCATATAATAATCTACCTAATATAGTAAAATTGTTATTTTAAATCATTAAGTAAATTAATATTTTGTTGTCTAAAATTGACAGCTGTTATAGTGATTTTCAATTATTTTCTCTATACGATGTAATAAATTTCATATTAGTAGCGATCTTTTTCGATCTATGTAAAAGTGATACTTGTATATATTTATTAATGAGGTAGACTTCTGTATATTAAGTCGAAGAAAAGGTTTCTTCGTATTTTATATACAATTTTAAGACATTTTTTATAGTCTAATTACATTTAATTATGATATATGTATATGTTCCATTTTGTTCGATAACTTGTTGCCACCTTGCATGTAGCTATATAATTCTCTGTTGCTGTAGAAATCTTGGGATTTTTGATCAAAAATGTGATATTAACCTAACACTACCCAAAGAATTCTGAAGAGTCAGAAACTGGTAAACATCTAAGGGTGTAAGGGCTCCCTCAATTTTTGCTGAGTGACCAAAAATGTTTGAGGTCTTGCATTATCACGACAAAATGCCTCATCTCATTCGTTCTTGGCATTAAGATCTGAATTAAAAGTTTTGACAGGCGGCAAATACTCACAATAAGCGATACCATTTCAATTCTACCATACTCGTACACACGGCTTCACTTTTTTGCGTGTTAATTCGGGTT